TTTCTTCAAAAAAGCGCACATCACTCAGAAGACTTCTTCAAAACAGGAGTTTTCAAACAACATAAGATTCAAGACCCTCTAACTTTTTGTTCCAAATAGCAAGAGGCTTAGGGGCTACACTTAGTGAATGCACTTTTTTCTTCGAAAAAGCGCACGTCACCAAGAAGACTTCAAGACAGACCACTTCAAGGCCTCACGACAAAAAGAACCCGGACCGAGCTATATCCGAGTTCTTTTTGATAAAGAACCCGAGTATATGCTCGGGAGCCCTTCGACGAAGAATCAGAGCAATTTCAAGACAAGACCCTCCAGCTCCTTGTTCCAAATAGCAAGAGGCTCGGGGGATACACCCAGATGGGAGTACTTTTTCTTCAAAAAAAGTACACACCACCCGAAGATCTCACGAAGCGCTACACGGTTCCGATCAAGAAAGCACTCGGACAACGCTTGTTCCTACTCGGCAAGACTTGAAGGAACAAGACGAGGCTTCCAGAGCTCAACCATAAAGTGCTTGGGGCTTGTCGATGTGGGACCCACGAGATACCCCTCAAGGAAGGGAGAAGATCTAGACTAACTAGGATTCTTTCTATGTAATCTTAGTAGTAGTATTATTCTGTAATCCTACTAGGAACTCTCATTGTAAACCGACTAGGACTCTGGCCTCCTGACTATATAAAGGAGGGCGGGGTTCCTAGAGGGAAGACTAGACAATCAATCCAACGTAAAGGCTAACGCCGACTGGACGTAGGGCTATTACTCGATCACGGTCAAGGGCCCGAATTAGGATAAATCGACTGTCTCTTGCGTTTACCATCGAGTGCTGCATATGCCGAAGCCCGAACAAACTGCCCCGGGTACCCCCGTGGTAGGCTATCAGTGGTGAAACATCGACAGGTATACAATAGAAGGCTTGGAGGACAACACTACTGGAAGCTAAAATATTCATGTCGATATGGGACCAACCGACAGAAACATTATATTTATCCTGTCGGCAGTCGTAAAACACACAGGAAAATATGAAAACCGACAAAAAAATTATAATTATTCTATGTGTTGCTATATTTTTCTATAGGCAGATCATAGCACTGACATAGCAATCCTATTTGACGCGCACCTGGAATCAAAACCGGTAGCCAACCCTGGGCCTGGGCCGCGGTGGCCTTTCAGGCAGGCCCAAAAGAGGACACACGCATATATAAGATGGCGTCCAACCCTAGCAGCGTTGTAGCTCTCTCTTTGCTCGACAGATCTAGCTGCCGCCATGCCTCTCACCGTGGCGCCGCTGCTCTTGCCACTTCTCGATGGGGGCGGGCAGATTTGACATCACGACATCCAGTTTCAATGAGCGAGCCTTGGTTCCAGGCGGCACACGTCCAGGCCCCGAAGGCCCAGCAGGGGCCGGTGAACTTGATAATTTATCAACATGGATTGATTGTTTTATACTTGTCATTTAAATGATCTAGCCATGTGTGCCTTGTGTAATATGATCTCTCCATTGAATGTTCATGCAATATAAATGGTTCAAGTTAAATTTGAGATTATTATGTGGATTTCAATACAAATGGACTGATAGAAATGGAAGGTCTTATTTCTGTCGGTTCATTTACATTTTTCTGTTGGTTACATGGGACTCCAAACCCGGCAGCTCAGAATTTTCCTGTCGGTGGCTTAGGATTTTTCTGTTGACAGAAGTACCGATAGGGAAAATGGTCGACCGACAGAGAAGTACCATTTTACTGTCGCTTTATTTCTGTCGGTGTTTTTCTGTCGGTATACCAATAGGGAAATTATTTTCCTATTTTTCTGTCGGTATTCGCAATTTTCCTGTTTGTTTTACCCCAACAGAGAAATTTTAGTTTCCATTAGTGCAAGAAACACTTATCTATTAAAAGGTAAGGCAGGCATCACGAATTAATTATTTTGCAAGTCCTAAACTACAAGTCCATAGATATGCCTGCAGATTCGGTTTGTTAAATAAATTTACTTGTACATCTGGATCGGAGAGTAAAAGTATTTACCTAAAAGTGGAATGAATGAATATATAAACCTTAGGTTTAGTTTTGCACCTTTTTTTATATATACTCATATGTATACAAACCTTCACCTAATTCACCTTGCAAATGATGTATATATATGTTGACGCAGAAAATCAACACACGGAGTCGCCAATGACTATTTGCTTCACTTTCTTAGAAGCGCCGCGACTAGTTTTCGAGCAAACTAGTAAAGGGATCATTTCGATTACGGCGAAGAACCGGCTGCTTTACATGCAAGAACAGCAAAGGATAGTTACTCCGATTCGCTGGAGCGCGTGGCTTTTTTGCGGGAAACTAGCAAAGCATAGCTACTGACCTAGATGGGAAAAGTAGAACGAAGAATGTAAAGAACAGAAATAGTAGATTTGTTTTGTGTCGATGTTGGGTGCTCCTCTACCGGCCTTAACCCCCCCACATATATATAGGGTGATCTGGACTTTGATCTCTATGCACGATTGTGTTGTGTGGACTCCTTCCTCAGTCCGCCCGCCATGCGCAAGATGTGCTTGTTCATGGTCCTTGAGTTCACGAACAGCCACTAGCTGTGAAAACCAATCTTTCATTGCTTGGTCACCGTCCGGCAAATCTTCCCTCTTCTAACTCATGACCAAAAGTTCTCCATCTCACATACCAATAGTCCCGGCAACTATCTGCCTCTCTAGGCCGCTTAAACAATTGGCCGATATGTTCTATTATTTTGGTATCGACAATGTCACCAACAGCAAGCAATTCTCCTTGCCTTTGTTTTTTAGACTGAGTTTTAGTTGTTTTGGCATGGAATTCTGAAAGTAAAATACAAACTTCCTTCAAATCAAGCCTAGCTATCTTACTGTTCTTGCTATATTTTTGCACAGCCAGGCTTTTTCCTTTTGGCACTAGAGACAAAGAATAATTACTAGCTCGCTCGGCTGTTGCAATAGCCGAACTATTATTCATGTATGAGTCTATCATTTTGCCCTTGCCTATTTCATCAATTGGTAGCGCTTCTTCCTCTTTCTCACTATTAACCGACGATTTGTTAGTTGCCGGCCTTAATTCTTGTTGTGCCAAAATAGGTTTTCGACCCTTACTTACAAGCTAGGCATCGACATTCTCCCTAACTTCCTTGCGTATTTTAGCTTCACAAGTTTCTAAGGCAGATCTTACCTCTCTATCAAACCGTCTTTTGAACTCTAATAAAAATTGCTCTGCCCTAGAATGACCATATGCCGAACCAACTTGTTGTGTACAAGGAACATGTGACTGCGGTTGGACATTAAGACTAGTTTCTAAACAAGAATCATGAGGAATGTCGGCAATTTGGGATGGTGTAGAAGGCACACTATTTGCTACAGAATAATATGGAGGTGTACTTGTGCCCGATAAAAATTCATTGACTCGGCCATGATTTGCAAATGTGGCCGAATCATGTGCAATAGATGTTGCATATGGGTACGAAAAAACAAACGGTACACTCGATCTCCAGTCCATTAGCATTCTGTGTAGCAATTGATGGATCAAAATAGTTGTCCGAAACATCATTATTTCGGCCATATATATTATGCGTCGGCATGACTTGTCGTGTAACCAAAAGCGGTGGAAACATTGCCGACGAGTTATACGGTATATTCTCTCTATTTGAGTAACCAAAATAATTGGTCGAACTGATCTCATTAATTTGGCCATTATCATTGCTCATCGGCATGTTAACTTGTGGTACACTAGGTTGTGTATATGTTACCGATGAATCAGGAGGCACAAATTGATGAGGACTATTATTGAAATTATTAATATTTGAAACACTAGTATCATCCCATAGGGGCTGCGTTCTGTAATCATTACATTGCATTTCAAAGCCCAGCGGATTAAGATGTCCATTAAAATCATAATCTAGAGTATCGATATTTCTAGAAGTACCATCGCCAACTAATTGATAAGCCATATAAATAACTTCAGAGAAGCTGACGTGCTACTAACAGTGGGATTTACCTTGTGCTCGGCGTGCCGTGTAACAAATTCGCAACTTAACTCCAGCAGCACGTCCTGACTCTTCTTCTCGAAAGAAACGAACCCCCACAACAGCAGCACGTGGCTGGAGAAACAGCAGATCGACGGCACGTAGCAGACACAAGGTGTTGCACTCTTGCGTCAGATTTGACAATGATCTCTCCGGCTCGCAACTGTTTAGACGACCGATTACTACGGCCCCGACGGACAGATCACAGAAGGAACGTCCTTGAAACTTCAACCAGGCGGCTTAAGGACGCCTAGGGTTTAACGGCAGCAAACTCGCTGGTGAACACAATCGGCCTTCAGGCCAGATGCGGTGGCGACAAACAATTGCGATCGGCCTTTAGGCCTGATGTAAGATCGATCGGTGAACAAATAAATGTTGAGATGTATAACCCAGCTGATTGATTCCCCAGCGGAGTCGCCAAATTGTGTTGACGCCAAAATCAACACATGGAGTTGCCAATGACTATTTGCTTCACATTCGTAGAAGCGCCGCGACTAGTTTTCGAGCAAACTAGTAAAGGGATAATTTCAATTATGGCGAAGAACCGGCTGCTTTACATGCAAGAACAGCAAAGGATAGCTACTCCGATTCGCTGGAGTGCGCGGCTTGTTTGCGGGAAACTAGCAAAGCATAGCTACTGACCTAATGGGAAAAGTAGAACGAAGAATGTAAAGAACATAAATAGTAGATTTGACTAATCCGGCCAAATAAATTGCATAAGCATACTATCAAACTGAAACTATAAGAAGGTGCCAAATTTGGTTGTCAACAATATATACGACTCAAATTTTGTTGCAAGTCCACCTATGTCAGGAACTGTTTTATTATCGCATTGCATGCACTATTATCAAGTCGATCTAATTAATTAATATATGAACATCTTCCAAAGAATCCACCAGTCTTCCATGGAATTCGAAGCCCATGCATGCAAGGTACAGACCAGACGAAGTAGTCAGCAGCTGAGCTGTTTAGGGCGACGGCGGCGGGCAAAGCAAGTTGGGAGCCTGTGTTTCGTGGCAGTTACCGCCGGGTCCCCCGAGGACCTCCATGATCAGCGCCTCTGATATCCCTCGGCCACCCCCTGCGGCCGCAACCTGCAGCAAGGGCCTCGCCGCGAGGATCACGTTGCATAACTGCAGCAGAAGCAGCAAGGCCACCATCACCACCCTCGCCATCGTCGCCGGCCGCTTCAGTGCCGCCACCATTGCAAACAAGCTAAGCGGCTAAGGTAGCTAAGCTAGTATGGGAGGCTTCTTGCTAGTAGTTTGAGTTGGTTCGGAGGGAAACATGCACAACGGTGGCTTTTATAGCATCGTGATTTGTGACGCTTGCTTGCCATCCTCCGGAAAGGTAAAACGAATGACCAGGTCATCAGTTCAACTGTCCATTCAAGCCACATGTAATATTTGTCAGGTCAAGTCTAATCCAAGTAAGTCTTATAATTTGAAGTCCATGAAAACCACGACACACGCGCGCGCGCGCACACACAAACACTCCCAGATGTGGTTCGAATCCGTGTGTGTATGCATGCGTACGTGCGTGGCTTCTTGCTTGGATTTGTGAATTCTCGGTCGATCAGTCGTCTATGCTAACGGTTGGATCGGACCGAGACGCATGCACAGATATATATATAGGTCGCGGTACTGTGTCGTCATACCTTTTGACGTATGCGGACGGCCGGATTCGTCGAGTTCACAAGCCGCTATTGTTTCTGCCGGCCGTTACTGGCATTCTGGCAACGGTACATAAGCTTCCCAGAAAGTGGCGGCGCTGGCCTTTTGTTCATTTTGTTGGTAGTGACTGGGCGACAAAGTTGGCCAGCCGGAAAGTACATATATAGGAGTATGTACCTACAGCACAAGTTTGAAGTTCCTAGCTAGTTCTGATTCGCATGTTGTTGGTGCGATCCCCTGAACGTACACAGTAGTCTCTGAAAACATCCGCCATGCATGCATCCATCTTATATCTTATATTATACTATTATTAATTAGAAATCTAGAAAGGAGCCTCTAAGATTTTGCTACAGGACACTAATATTTTGTGAAATTGCTGTGGGACACTGTATTTTTTTTCTTTGCTCTAGACACACTGGGCGGTGTGCCACAGCAAAGAAATTAGTGTCCCACAGCAAAGAAAAAATATTCCAATGTCCCACAGCAAATTTCACATAACTGGAGTGTGCCACAGCAAAATATGCTAGAAAAGATACATCTTATAAATTCTCATAAAAATCAGATATATCTGACTATCAATGTGGTATAGACTCCTATATTATCATCATTGATAATAGAGAGAAGTCCACATTTTGGCCATCCAACTATTTGCCGAATTTGTTTTTGGCCATGCAACTATTAATAATCAAGAATCTTTGGCCATTGAACTAACAATATCGCAAATTTGGTTGCCAAGCTAGTTTTAGAGATGGCTTATATATTTTATGATAAATAACAAAAAAAAACTTGCTCATTTTATAAAACATGGGTTTGGGGTTCCCTCATGATGACACATGGATAATTTCGATATAGGTTTAGGGATTACTTTATGTGTTTTCATGATAACATAGGTAGGTAAACTTTTAGAAAAAAAGAAGTAATGGACTGATAGTTATTATTATCGATAGCGATTATAGTTTACCAAATTGATGGCTATATCTTAGTTTCTGAATTTTTGACAATTTTCTAGATTTATCTTTTTCTATCGTAGTCTTACGAGGATCAACATGAATGCCCTATTAGAGCTGCAATTATTCTTAATAATAGTAAGAAAAGCCAGAGACAACGAAGTATATATCGTGTTCTTTTAATAAAGTCACTGAATATTTGGAGAAATAATGTTTCGTACTTATAAAAAGGGAAAAAAGGAATAATGAAAGAATACAACCACAAATGCAATTGGGACCTTTATAACAATTACAAGACTAAAATAATATAATAATCTAAGTTGTTGCCTCGTATCAGCAAGCTAATTAATCATCGACGGTGCAAACTTGCTGATTGCAACTTTGCAAGTCGAGCTATGTGAGAGACTGTTTTATTCTCGCAAATTGTCTGCTCTAACTAAATTTATCTTATCGATTCTACTATAATTAAATAGCTTAAAAAAACACTTTTCCATGAACAACCAAGCTGAATAGGACGGTGCACCCGAGCAGCTATCTCGATGGTTAGGTCTGGCAGCCGGGGTTCCCGGGATTCCTCCAGTCGCAGTTGGGGGCGCCGGCGCCGCCCGGCGGCCCCTTGTCTAGCACTTGCATTACCATTGTTATCACGGCGCCCTGCCACCCGCCGTCCGCCCCTGCCGCCACATGCAGCAATGGCCTCGCCGCGAGGATCACGTCGCAGCATTGCATCAGCAGTACGGCCACCACTGCCGCCTTCACCATCGTTGCCGCAGTCGTCGATGCCATGTCGATGCTACGTTTATTTGATTGCAAACAAGCTAGGGCTCTAGGTGCGTTGTTGCTCTAGCAAGTGAGGAGTAGTATATGTGCGTACGTGGAAGAAAACGTCGTCGAAGTGGTTGGTTTGTTGGAGCCTTGGAGGGAAGCATGCATGATGGCTTCCTTTTATAGAGTTCGTTTCCATATATTTGATCAATATAATGGCCGATCGAAGCATGCATACAGCATTACATTACTATATGGACCGGGTCACTTATTCCCCTCTTAAATTATGAGACTTCTAAATTTTGTTCTCAGGTCAAGCCTAGCCTACACGGTTTAATTTTCAACTGTTGATCAGCGCGGTCCATTTGATTTCAAATTCTTAAGTTTGAAGTCGATGCAAGAAGTGTCATAACGAAAGCATATGAACGAAGTCCCTAGCTAGACTATATATATGAACATATATATAATTACGTATCCGATCGAGTCGCTCTTGCCCCCACGGAAATGGTAATCAGCAAGTGTTCTAGCTTGCTTCTCATTGCCTTGTTGCTAGGGTTCGTGAATTCTCATTCGATCTCTGCACTCTGCTTACTGTTGGACCGGTTCATAGGTGAATGTTTGTGACTTTGGACCTTGGACACGGTTCGGTCGTATTCAATGAGTCACCGCGGACTAATCTTGATCGTTCATGTCATTTAGTGAGTGTCTCTAGCAAAGTTTCAACTACAAGTTTATTGTTCATAAATTTTTTATTTGAAGTTGTTTAGAGTCATAAATATTTGTTTTAATTTCACATGTTTTGAGAATTAGATTTTTGAAATTTTCAAACAATCTTGAATGGAGACATCTCCTATACCTAAGTTGTAGTGTTTGACAAGATTTAAAACTTTTTAGTTGAAACTTTTTTCCATTTGAAGTCATTTACGGGCGGAAAAATTCAATACAAGATTACAAAATGTTGATATAAAAACATAATTGTCTATATATAATCACAAATGAGTGTGTAGTCTAGTGGTAGAGAAGCATTATATGTGCTAAAGGTCGTGAGTTTCTTACCCCTATTAATCAATTTACAGAGACGGACATTGCGCCTAACTCTGAAAATGGCCTATTAACAGCGACCATTTGCCAGAGACTACTTCTAAATAGATATTTATTGTAGTGCCTCTCAAAATCCTTTGTGTAATAATGGGCTGCGAGGGCTAGAAAGGAATGGGTCGCAAAATAGGCCCATTATCATGATAGTAAACACACATTTTAGCAGCAGCGTTGGAGCAAATCCAAGAGTCTCTTTAGATCCTTTCTTATTGATATAGTAATAAAGATTTTGATGAAAAATATCCTCCAACAACTTTTTAATTAGATATCCAAAAATAAACATCTTGTATTCCGGACTTATTGCTAGCCAAAGATGAAGAACGAGATTGACTCTCTAGAGTGCACACAAAATACAGAAAAGTTGTTGAAGGACGAAGAGATATAAAGAGTGATTTTTATTAAAAATAACTTTTTAAATAATAATTTAGAGAGTAAGTTTAGGAAAGACTGTTGGAGATTCTCTTATTTTCGACTTTGTTTGCCTCCTCCTAGGGCAGCTTTGTTCTTCATCGGTAGTATAGTAATACACCAAATTGGTCGTATCAAAAAAAAAAAAACAAGTTGGCATCAAGAGACGTTGCTGCCGATATGCAGTTATGCACCATCAAGAACTCAAGATTGAACATGAATTAATCTGAAATGCCTTTGCGGGAAAGAAAGGGTGGACGTGGAACATATGCTTGATGATAGAATGTGATTCCTTCCTTCTTTGGCCCTTTCTTTTCAAAGACCAAAATTTAATAATTGGAAAAAGGCCCAACTTTGTCGTTGTACACAAAAGGCTCGTGGACAATCCGGTATATGTCCCCAGCCTAAATCAAACATTATTTAGGTTAAGGCGGATGAAATTTTCACAGTGACATGCATAAGTGGCTTTGCTAAATTGACATCCGAAGCGTTGGCTTCAAAAAAAAATGACTCAAAAAACTTGAGGTTGCCTGATTTTTTGATATTCTAGCCTTTTTATATCTATTTCCTTCACCAGTATGCCCTTAAATTAGAAAAGAGAAAAAATGTCACAAACATTACCGGAAACAGTAGAATTGCCGAGTGTCTAAGGGTTTGCCGAGTGCATTCCATCGGGCACTAGGCAAACATCATATTTACCGAGTGTTTTTAATTCAACACTCGGCAAATAGATAGCACTCGGTAAAACCCAACTTTGCCAAGTGACTAATAAAAAACACTCGGCAAACTACAACAAAATACTTGGCAAACACGGACACTCGGCAAAGTAGAGGCACGTGCGCTGGGCGTGCGGCGGCCGTTGGGTGCGCCGCCCTGCCGTTATAACTTTACCGAGTGTCCGTTAGAGACACTCGGAAAAGACAAGGTTTGCCGAGTGTTTTTTATTGACACTTAGCAAAATAATGTTTTTGCTGAGTATTTCTTATTGGCACTCGGCAAAATAATATTGTTGCAGTGTGTTTTTTATTGGCACTCGGCCAAATAATAATTTTTTTCATCTCCTGCCCTTCAAACTTTTTCTACTCTCCACATACAATATGTGGTACTATATTTTAAACTTTGGTATATTTCTCGATCTGTTTGCTATATTTAATTAATTTATTGTATTTAGAAGAATTTTTTGGTTTAAGTCAAATTTGAACTGCAAGTGATTCAAATAATGGAATAAATTGAGTGGAAAAATCATATTCATGTTATTGAGTCCATTTTGGGGTCTTACTCGGGAAATGAAAAGAAATTTCGAACATTTTATTAAGGAAACATGACCACGAACGTGTGGCCGAATGGTTTTAAAATTCTAAAAAAAGCAAACAAAGTCTGAAAATCACGAGATTTGTCAAGATCTCATGATATCATACGTGGAGACTGTGGAAAAAAAAATGAGAAGGTTTCGCACCATTTGTCATGTATGACCTTTACAAACCGAAGCATCTCCGAATAAGAATCAAGGAGTTGAGAAGAATCTGGTAAGATTTGGAGTCAAAGTGACGGTCGAATTGAGGTTTGACTTCAAAACTTTTTATATAGGCAATAGACAACATAGATTGGTTCACGTCAATTTTTTGTAAATTTTCGGATCTATTTGATAATTTTAATTTATTAACTGCAATTATAGAATTTTAATTGATATAAATTGAATTTGAGCTATAACTGCATGAAATAATGGATTAATATTCGTAGAAAAATCAAATAAGCATTGTTGAGTGAATTTGACAAGGTATTTTCAAATTACATCGTAACAAATTTAGTAAAACACATTACGAAGAAGGAGAATGGGTGGGCATGAAATATCAATTTATTTTGCCGAGTGTTAACTGTGTGACACTCGGTAAACAATATAATTGCCGAGTGTCATATAATGGACACTCGGCAACATACCCAAGCCGGCCCCACTTACCAGTACCGTACCGGTTGGAAATTTGAAAAAAACAATGCCGAGTGTTTTGAATCTGGCACTCGGCATACCTTTACTTTGCCGAGTGCCAAATCGCGGGCACTCAGCAAAGCCCTTTGATTTTGTACCCTATCCGGCCACACGCTTACTCACACACACTCACCCACACACACACGTACACCGAACCGCCCTCCGCACCGTTGAGCGCCACTCACCACCCCACGCCGCCGAACCGCCCTCCGCCGCCGGGCCGCCACCCCCCGCAGCCGGGCCGCCACCCTCCGCTGCCGGACGGCCGCCCCTCGCTGCCAGGCCCCCGCCTTCCCGTGCCGCCACCGGCGGCCCCCGCCATCCCGGCGCGTCGGCGCGACTCCTGGCCCCCCGGCGCGATGCCCCTCCCGCCGCCGCACGGCGGCCTGGCCACCCGGCGCCCCTGCCTCCTAGCTCGATCTCCTCCCCTACTCTGTGACTGCCCCCACCTGGCCGCCTTGCCTCGTCCCAAGAACCGGTACGTGAGCCCTTCCTCTCTCCTCCTTGTCCTCCCCAGATCTCCCCAGATCGAGCTCCTGCAACTTGGATGTGTAATTTTTACTCATTGGATGTGCTTGTAGTAGTATATTGAGAATATCATGTTTTGTCTCAGTTAAAGAACTGCCTTGTAGTAGTATATTGAGAATTTCGGCAGCTACAGATTTAGACGAAAGAGAGAGCATAAGGCATTCCATGAAATCCTGATTGTCTGCCCAGCATAAATGGTTTTGAGCTGCCATATCTGAAACTAGAGCTTGAACTCTTGCATACTTGTGGAGATGACCTGACCTTCAGACTTTGTCCTGGAGAACCTAGAATGCATTTGGGTTCCTGTTATCAGTTGAATACGAATGAATTAGAAATGGAACAGTGTGGCGTCCTTTCCACTACTAACTTCTGACCCTTATACCACGTTTTTTGTCGCAACGGCATGGTTTCGTTGCAACAAGCGTTGTTATCACAACGATTTTCACTTTTGTTGCGATAGATTGGTTTTTTGCCATGAAGATTGTTTTGTGGCCATAAGTGTGGAGATCGTTGCAAAAAGTAAGTGTTATCGCAACAAATTATTGAACGGTTGCAATTAGTGATTAATGTTGCCACGATTTGATTTGCGTTGCGGGCAAGTTTATTTTCGTTGCAATACTAAGGTGATATTGCAACTCTTTATTTTATGGTTGCAATAGCCCATCTATATCGCCACGAATATGTTCCGTTGTATATAATAGTCGCTTGCGTTGCAAAAAATTGGTACATATAGCAACGAAAAAATAGTTCATTGCAATCACTAAGGTTGCAACGATTATGGTTTCGTTGTATGTAGCAGTTTCGTTCATTGCAAAAAGGTTATAATATAGCAACGAAAAATTACATTGTTGCAATACCTAAGCCTTTCCACTTTAAGCGCACTCCTTGCAAAGTTCTAAGGTATTTTCCACTTACTCCTCGATTGCAAAGATTATATATGTCAAAGGAAACATCATCATGGATGCAGTGGCACAAGGAA